TGGGTTGTAATTAAATGATGCCTATTTGATGGTTACTTTAATGAACTGGTCATTAAAAGAAAGGGGTATGAAAGTGAACGCAGGTAAGACGAAAGTGATGGTTTTTGAAAGAGAAGAAAGTAAAACGTTATGTGAAATAAGAATAGAAGGGGAGTTGATTGAGCAAGTGGATGTTTGTATATTTGGGATGTTTATTTAGCAGGGATGGTAGATATGATAAGGATATAGAACGCTATTATGCAGTGAAAGTTGGGTCTGGCAGATTAAGCATGAGAGTAGAATAAATGCTGTAGAAATGCGGTCATTTAGGAGTATGCTAGGGCTGAATCTGAATGTCGGGGTGAGAAATAGTGTGATAAGAGAAAAGTGTGGTTTGCAAGATGAAATTGTCACCAGGATAAAAAAGGAATGCTTCGGTGGTTTGGTCACGTAGAAAGAATTAACGAGGAAAGTGACAAAGCAAATTTATGTTTCAGAAGTGAACGGTAGAGTCGGGAAGGGACGCCCCTGACGAAGGTTTATCGACCAAATCGGCGATACATTGAAAATGGACCAGATTAGGAGTACCCTTAACCGACGAGCGTGTATGCGTAGATATATGTATGTAAAGGAGGCGAGAGAGGTGTGTCAGGATCGCGTGTGGAAGTGCGTAGGTGCAAATGGAAGTGCGTAGTCTCTGCCTACCCCTCTGGGTGACAGGCGTATGTGTTTGTGTATACTTAGAAACAGCAAAAAATAAAAAGTGGACATTCCTGTTGTTATTTAAGAACATATGATATTCAGTACCTTTTGGCTTTTTGTGTGGCGTACAAGGGCGGCACTGAAAATTTCGGGAATCAAGGAAGTGACACAACATTACTATTTAAAAATGTATTTATTGGTTTTCGAAGTATTCTCCGCGAAATTTGACACATTTTTCCATACGATGGAACCAATCATTGAAGCAACCATTCCATTCGGAAGTTGGGGTCTCCAAAATGGCCGTTTTGTAGGCGTCCACAGCTTCTTCAGGTGATGAAAATCTCTGTCCACGCAATTTATTCTTTATTTTAGGGAAAGTATAGAAATCATTAGGGCTTAGGTCAAGGCTGTTGTACGGCGGATGGTCTAATAATTCTATGTTTTCTTGCTCTAAAAACTCTTTTGTTCTGTGTGCGGTGTGAGAACTCGCATTGTCGTGAATCGTGATGTAGGATGATGCGGCGGTTGCAGTTCTCTTTACGGAGTTCAGAAACGACATGTGGCAAACAAATGCTAGCATACCATTCTGCATTAACCGTTCTTTGTCCCTCAAGAGGAATAGTCGTAACATGGCCGGTTTTGGAGACAAACGTGGCCACCATTGTTTTTGTAACACTCCGTGAACGAACAATTTTTGTTGGCTTTAACTCATTTTCGAACACCCAAACTCGTGACTGGTTTTTTGTTTCGGGTTCGTACGCGTATATCCAGGATTCGTCACCTGTTACGATCTTGTATACAGCATTTGAGGATCCTGCGTGGAATCTTTCGAGAGTTCTGACGCACCAAGTAACGCGAGCCGCTTTTTGCTCTTCACAGAGCGAATGCGGTATTCATCGGGAAAACAACTTTTTTACACCTAATTGTTCATGCAAGATTATTTGTATTTGACTCATGCCAATGTCTAAAGTTGCCCGAATTTCGCGGTATGTCACATGTCGATCTTCCTCAATCAGCTTACACACAGCATCAACGTTTTCTTGGGTGACTGCAGTTTTTGGACGACCTTGACGGGGGTCATCACTGAGCTTGACACGTCCACGTTGAAATTCAGCAAACCAGCGATAAATTGTGGTTTTGGATGGGGCTTCATCACCAAATGCAGAAATTCATCCGGTCAACACACTGTTTTTGTGTTAAACCACTTCGAAAGTCATAATAAATCATCGCTTTTGAATTTTCTCGAGTCAATTCCATTAGCTTGCTACATATATATTTATCTATGAATTCCATTTTCTCAACGACTAAACAAGTTTGACAAAACCTTGTGACAAAACCGAGAATCTTTTTTTAAATAAATAAATGGTATTCGGTTTTTAAAACCAAGGAGTTTTCAATTAAAAAGATTTTAATATGACAGGAACAGTGGAAATATTCCATTCCCGATACTTTTAGTGCAGCCTATGTATTTATCTTTCAAATCATGAAAAACAACAAATCGTAACATATTTCTTGCTCTTAATGCGTTATTTTTGTTTTCAAATATCACTGCGACTGTACTATTTTGTAGTAAATACATTGCTCCTTAACCACTACTTATGTACGTCGCTAAGCGACTGAACAAGCAATGTAAATATGACAAAACGATACTTTATTTATGGGGTGTAGTACGACCACTGTATCTTGCGATGAGTTAATGATGTGCTTGTGCAGATCCACTAACGTATGCTATCGACAACAATGTCGATTGGCGAATTGCTATTATAGTATATTCTTTCAATTTGTCAACCGTTTCAGCCCGGTGTGCTGAAACGGTTGACAAATTAGGAAGCTTGCCAGGTACATGGTGAGGTTGCGTAGGATATATGTAAATGATAAATAAATTATTATCGTACCTTTTCAGCTTCCTAAAAGATGCTAATTTAAAAAAGAAATAAATTGATACCACAGGAAGGCCACCAAACTGGTTCCCTACAAAAACTAGTACCATATGCCAAAATACCTACTTTTTCAATAAGCGACATAAGCGGATTTTTTTATTGTTTTAATTTGTTAGGTAGGTTAGGTACTTAATAATTTACGTTTAGCTACATATTGTTTATTTTTATTATATAATTACCTGTGCATATCGTTTTTTATTTATTTTATTTTCAATTTTTGTATAAATGAAAGAGAATCGATAACTTTCCAATTTAGTCAATCACTAATGTATATGTAAAAAAAAAGCTTTTGCACAGCACAACGATAGCGACCGATATTTTTGAGTGGTAGTACGGTGCATGGTAAATGCACGCTGTGTTTGTAGGGATACGGTTTATAATTGATTGTGTAGTACGTTCTGATTTATAAAATGAGGATGTGTGCGCGACTGCGTATATATTGCTTTTACTGATCTGCAAGTGTAGTAGTAGGCGGGTGGTAGGGGCCAACTGGAGACACTGGGTTCCGATACATTTTCAACTACCGGGCATATCTCCTTCTTTTATTATATCTATGGTCTTATTGCTCCGCTTGCCCCGAGCAGTATTCGTCGCGAGCGAAATTGCCCCCCCCCCCCCCCCCCCTCCTAGAATATGCGAGGCAGCCTGAGCACCCACGCTCAGGAGTGGAGTAGGTTGGTCGTGAATGCTCAGCCGGGGATTCTCCAGGGGTGCTGGTACCCTCCTGGGGTAGTCTTGTTTACTTCCGATACCATGGGGGGGGGGGGGGAAGAGAATGGGGCCTCCGGCCACCTACGCTCACCAAGCGAAACGCAGAAGTAAACCTCTACTTCACGTTGGTATTCTGTGAGGTTGTGCTACCACCCCGGTTCGAGCCGGCCCATCCGTGCGACAGCAAAAGCTGCTGTGTGGCTAACTGTTAGGTAAACATCATTTGCGTCATTTAAAAAATATATAATAATTATCAATTTTGCATCAATATAATTAACAGTTTAAATAAAATCATTTATCCGTACAATACTCTTTCAACAAACTTTAAAATTGCTATTCTATTACCAGCAGGATTCTCCATCTTCTTCTTTTTTTTTTGGCTTCTCTTGATAGAATTCTGCCAGTGTCAAGTCAGTCAATACTCTCCATCTTAGTTTAAGATTTAGCCATTAATATTAGAGTAAATTAGTGAACAATACACAAAAATACAGACACTTTGTCTAATCGACAACAATATACAACAAGAATTTGGTAACTGGTTGTATTATACATTGTAAATAAACAAAAAAGTACATGCTTGGCCTAATCCGCTAATGCCACAAAGTGCTGAGAATATATTACTTTTAGTACAAGGATTTTCGTGTAATCTATACAAATAAATTAAATTTAAGTGTCTGTTTGTAATGTCAAAATTACAGCTATTTACTAAAGGCATATGAAAGTATATACGGTACTTATAAGAAAAAAACAAATTTTAAAATTTTTGTCTGTCTATTTGATTCCGGCTAATCTTCGATTTTGACGGGAATTTCACTGGTAGATAGCTGATATTAAAAGGAGTAACTAAGGCTACTTTTATTTTAGAAAAAAAATTAGGGTTCCGCGCAATAAAATTAAAACTTATGAAATCCATCGTAATAAAATCCACGAGGACGAAGTCGCGGGGACAGCTAGTAATAAATATAATCACAATTCAATAATATAATTTATTAACATATAAACGGTTATTCACAGTAAAATGTATATAACATTGCGAGTAGGGTATGGCTTGCGCTAACTCACGTTACGATCACGCGCGGACGCATATGCGGACGATGACGCACGCAAGTGTCTAGCTTGTTAAAATTAATGAAACAGCTGCTTAATGGCCTGGTTAAAATTAAAATTAAACTCATAAAAATGAAATAATAATATTAACCTACTCGATGAACGCTTGGTATGGTGTAACAACAGTTGATCTCAATATAAATGTACAAAATATATCTTTCTCTACACAATTATTGTTATTTGTGATACAGCCAATATAAATCCATATTTGAAGACACAAATTAGTTGACTGATGTAAAATGAAATGCAACGTGACGGGGCAATTTTTTTTTGATACCTTTTCTGCGGTATCAAATGCTGTTCTCAAATAAATTAACAAGGCCAACAAATTTCATTTTTGGTCTAATTTAGATAAGCCTTTAAGCAAAATGGCATTTTAAAGTACTTTGCATATGTACTTTGCAACATATCCGTGCCATATTTTACTACTACGCTCGTTTTGCAAGCGCACTTAGAACCTAGTTACGTTAAGCGGTCACAAGGCAAATAAAAGTAAAAATTTACATATAAAACTAAATTTGCTTCCGCATGCTGCCGGTGATCGCTTAAGGTGAGATATCGCTACGTGGGCGCTTGAGACGCGAACAGTCCTTCGAGTGCGGCGCCCTCGGGCCCGTCGAGTGCGCTTCGAGCCTTCTCTTTGGGGACGTGCATTGTAGGCAAGTCCAAAATGTACACTTCCTTCTTGAAGAGCTGCCCGACGTTGCGTCCGATTAGCTGGAACGATATATAATTAATGTATATTAGACATATTTTGATAGTTCATAATATGTAGTTATAGTATAGTTCATTTGTACTTAATACATGCAAAAGATGCACATTGTTGCGTTTCATTAAACACATCATTTACTTTCAGATATTAATCAGTATTTATAATTTGTAATAGTTATTGTAACTAAATTATAATCGTTAGTATCGTAGTTGTGTGGTGTTGTGGTGTTGTGTAGTTGTGCGGTGTACTGACCCTGGAGGCGATCTTCTTGAAGAGGTCGCGCTTGGCCTTGTCGATCTTGGCGGGGCGCGGGTGCGCGGCGGCCAGCTTGTCGTCGAGGCGGCGCAGGCGTTAGTATCGTAGTTGTGTGGTGTTGTGGTGTTGTGTAGTTGTGCGGTGTACTGACCCTGGAGGCGATCTTCTTGAAGAGGTCGCGCTTGGCCTTGTCGATCTTGGCGGGGCGCGGGTGCGCGGCGGCCAGCTTGTCGTCGAGGCGGCGCAGGCGTTAGTATCGTAGTTGTGTGGTGTTGTGGTGTTGTGTAGTTGTGCGGTGTACTGACCCTGGAGGCGATCTTCTTGAAGAGGTCGCGCTTGGCCTTGTCGATCTTGGCGGGGCGCGGGTGCGCGGCGGCCAGTTTGTCGTCGAGGCGGCGCAGGTCGTGCGCGTCCACGCCGGGGATGGCGCGCAGCACGCCCGCCACGCCCGGGAACTGCGGCCGCAGCGTCTCGTACGTCTGCACCAACACCAGCCTTAAGGTGACAAACGAGTACCCAGTCCACTTGATGGTAAGTGGAGGCAGTGGCGCATAAGTATCTACATTCATTTATTCTCGATTAAGAATCGGAATCCAGGATATATTACCAACCATGAGGACTAAGATGGAATGTCTCGTTTCCAGTGAAAAACGTCTCCGGTTCTCTACACTTACCTTATGAAACACAGCAGCATTGAGCTACAATTTTACGCTGGTATTTTGCCAGAGCATGGACCTTCCCAGGTTGAGTCGACCGTAAACCATAAAATAGCTGCAGCATGGCTCTACTACGTAAAAAACGAGTTACCATGTAGGGACCATGTGGATGGTTTAGATTTAAGATTGGACCCAGTAAGTAGTGCTATTGTAGAGATCCAGAAATCACCCGTGTGAAGTCAGAACGGATCGCTAGTAATATATAAAACATAATAAAAGTGCTATGGCTAATCTACTGTATGTATCAGACTGATTGAGGTGTACGATTAAAAACGCTATATATGTATATGTGCCACTACTGGGCACAGGCTCCTTCTAAATTCTGTGAGAATTTTAAAGCAATAAGTGTGTATACACACCCACACACACACACACACACCCACACACACACACACACACCCACACCCACCCACCCACACACACACACACACACACACACACACACACACACACACACACACACACACACACACACACACACACACCTGCACGGCGAGCGCCAGCAGCGCGGCCTGGTTGCCGTCGTGCTGCCCGTGCGTGCGCAGCGCCTGCAGCACGGCGGCCAGCGCGCCGCTCGCCTCCGCCGCGCCCACGCGCCCCGCGTCCAGCGCAGCGCGCAGCGCGGGCAGCGCTAGCGCGCACGCGCGCAACGATGACGTCGAGTCGTTCCACGTCAGCGCGCGCAGTATCTGCACCCCCAACGCGCCCAACGCAAACATTATTACATTATTAGCATCACCATGAAACGTTAAAAACAACACATAACAACTAATAGCAGTCTGTTGTTATTCAATCACATGTTGAATCTTATTAAAATTTGAAAGGGAAATTGATTATGTTCTGGATACTAAAGACAAGACACTACATAGTATTTATCCCAAAACTGAACAAAGAATCCTTCGATTTTCCACACCTCTTTTTCCTAAGCAATTTACATACGAATAAAATCAAAGAGTAAAGTTAGTTAAGATTTGGACAACCCTGCCGTGAGGGACAATAAAGTAATATTAGTAACCGTGTGCAGCACTGCGGGGCCGGCGAGCGGCTGCGCCAGCACCAGCGCGCCCAGCTCCGACACGTGGTCGGGCGCGCGCTGCGGCGCCGCGCTCTCCTCCTCCATGTCGCACGCCTCGCCGCACCCGCCGCCCGCGCCACCCGCGCCGCCCACGCCGCCCACGCCCGTATCCACCAGCGAGATCTGGGCCAAACCGTTCCAATTTCAACTCTATTGTATAAAATATAACGTGCTAAATGTTCTGATGGCTATCATTTGTTGTACGAGGTGTGATCAAAAAGTAAAGTGATGTGATGTCGGAACTTGGAAGGTGCTGAATGAAGGAGACGTGTTGCTTATACAAGAACTTTAATTATACTGACGCTATTCTATACTTAATACTAATATCATAAATGTATATTGTCGGAGGTATATCTTCAATTCGCCTAATTCCATACTCATCGCAGAATCGAACACGTGATATCCGACACGGCAAGGACAGTAGCTCAAAATTCGACATTGAATGTTCCGGATTCACTTATCACAAATTATAAATTCGACACAATAACACGTCGCACAAGATTCAAAATACGCCTCGTTGACACTCGAATTAATTTAACTAGGCAACCAAAACACAAAAGGGCACTAACGCGACGACCCAATTATAACGATATCCTGCCAATTAACTGAGAGAAGCTCTCAAACTAGGAATGCGCGGCTAGAATCCTAGACCGTATATCTACTCGACGCGCGTACACTATTCCGCACTCTCGCACGAGTTAAATATCGCACAATTCACATATCTACGTGACGAAGAAGCACGTACTTCATCTAGCTATCTAGATCCACGACGGGCCGTGAATTTAGGTAAGAGGGCCTGACGGTCTTCCCGCCTCGTGGATGGCGGGGCACCGACCTTTCGCCCACGCGTCGAGCGACTGCCGCACACGCAGCCGCGCACGGCCACCCCACCTCGGCGCTTATCTCACCAACATACCATCGGGTGAGGCGCCAGCTCGAACGCAATTGGTGGTGTTCAAACATAACCAAATTTGGGCATAAACAGTTGTATTTGTTGTTTTAAGTATTTTTAGTATATAATAACATAATTTTAGGTTTTATTGTCTATAACAAAAGAAAAAAACTATTACATTATGGAACTTATAATAATAGCGGATCGATACTGTTTCGACTTGATACAATAAAGCAATATATAAACCAACTTTAGTTTAAAATTGTACAACTTTTACATAAACAAAAAAAAAAATAACATAAAATAGAAATTTAAGGTTAAATTTAAGGAAAAAATCTTGTAAATTCATATAAAATATACGCGAAAATGATATTTTTTTCATATTTAATTATTTATTTTTTTGTGTACATGTTGTTGTGTGTCTATAATTACTACATGTTTAATTTGTGAGTATTAAATAATTGCCTGTATTTAATTAATATTAGTTGGCTGAAATGTGCGCCATGCACTGTACTTTATTGTATAAATATAATATTTATACCCTACTCTGATTACGTTCGTATCTCTAATTTATTTCAACATCTCCTTCCCTATTTTTTTTAATTATGATGAATTTCCAACTTTAAGTAATTGATTCTATATAATACCAAACATTCTTTTATAACTATTCATCACTTTTATAACGTAATTATTAATATTACTTGTATATTATGTACCTATTACAATAATAATTTACATAATTATTTTATTTTATTTTAAGCCCTATACTCTATATTATTGCGATTATGGATAAAATATATTATTTGCTATATGATTATAATACGTGGATTATATTAGGTATTTATTTAATTATACGTGTAGTTATGTGGATCGATCCTATAGGTACAACATGTACAACTAGTAGGCAGCATTTTGGGTAGCATCGTAGTAAAGAAATGCAAATAACTACCTATCTCACTTTATAGATTTGGTCGGGGATCCCCTTAATACCTTTTAGGTAACTCAATTTTTTCTCAGGTCCTTTTATGATTTGAATTTTTCTTATTTCATTGTACTTATTTTCATACCAGTGCCACTACTCCTATTACTTTGTTTAAATTAGTAGGCCTTAGGTTATACATATATGTGTTTATATTTTCTTTTATAATTGTTGTATGTACATACTTTCTTTCCTTTCATAATAATTTATTCTTTTTGACCTTTTAGCTAGCTTAATTTGTTTTCGTAATTCTATTCACTTATATATTTATTTATTTATTAGATATCGGGAATCGGAGTATTAATTCACTTCATTTATATTTTATTTCGTGATATTTATCACGAAATAAAATATAAATGAAGTGAATTAATCATTGTAGAAGCGTGCTCGTCGCGACCCCTGCCAGCCCTTTTCAGGGCTGCAATTCTACACAGCTGTGCACCCATGCCAACGAGGGTTAGGGCGTCCCCCCAAGGCGACGCACATCAGCTCGTCCCCGTTGGTGTGGAATGCAGCGCGCAAAGCGGCGATGGGGACCGCCACCCGTCACGCACAGCCCGACACGGCGGAAGGTGGAGGACAGAATGCAGAGCTGGCACTTGGAATGTTAGAGGAGGCATGAGAGATAAGACGAATGAGTTGATCGAAATAATGAAAGAAAGAGAATTAGATGTCGTTTGTATGACGGAGACCAAACGGAAGGGCAGTGGTACTGAAGAGCTCCCTGGCGGGGCGTTAGCTCTATGGTCCGGAGTCCCGGAGAGCGAGAACGCCTGCCAGGGAGTGGGGGTGCTGCTGTCTTCTCGGTTGGTCGATGTTATGACTGAATATAAGGTTGTGAACTCAAGACTTCTCTGGGTTCGCTTTAAATTGGTACTGACGAAGTTATTCCTTTTGGCTGTTTATGCGCCGGTAGCTTCGTCGTCCAGGGCTGAGCTGGAGGAGTTTTGGGAGAATGTAAGAGAAGTTCTAGATTTGGCTAGGGGAAACGAAAGAATTGTTGTATGTGGTGATTTGAATGGATGGGTTGGTACCGCTCGACCAGGGTACGAGTCGGTACTTGGAAAGTTTGGCGATAAAAGGGTTAATGATGCTGGCAAGCTAATACTGGCAATATGCAAGGAAAAGGGTCTTCTTGTGACAAACACTATGTTTAATCACAAGAAAATCCATATGTATACTAGAGAAAGAAAGAATGAGAGAAGTATGATCGATTTGTTCCTGGTGGATGACCGACTGCGAAAACAGGTGATGTATACGCGAGTGTTCAGGGGTGCTGACCTGGGAACGGATCACTATCTAGTGATTACTAGATTTAGGGGTCTGTTCGCGGGTTGGCGCTACCGGACGGCAGTAACAGAACCACAGTCGGTCTGTCGCATCCGAAGCTGGAAGCTTCAGGAAGCGGATACTAGGGACAAATATCATGCGAGGGTAGCCGATAAGCTTGACACCATCGATGGCAGAAAAGAATGTGTGGAAAGAACATGGCAGAACCTTAGGGATGGAATGGTAAGTGCAGCAGAAGAAGTGTGTGGAACAATAAAAAGAGGCAGTAGTAAAAGAAGAGATGCATGGTGGAATGATGAAGTGAAAGAAGCTGTAAAGAAGAAGAAGAAAGCATGGTTAGACTACTTGGCCTCTAGTAATGATAAGGATATGAGAGAGAAGATGAAAGAAAGATATAAGCTGCAGAATGTTCACACGAAAGCATTGATTGAGGAAGTGCGTGAAAGGTGTAGAATGGAAGCGGACGAAAGGTTGTCGCACAACTTCAAGGAGAACTCCAAACTCTTCTGGAAAGAGGTTGGAAGGACCCGAAGTGGTACGACGGCCTTAATAATGAACAAAGTGCTTTCGAGAACTAATGACGTCCTCTCAGAAAAATCGGACGTCATGCAGCGATGGAGTGAATTTTATAGAGAAATGTATACGTGTGATGATCTTAGTGAGGGATCCGGGGATGACGCCGTGACTGGTACGCCAGACCCGGACCTCGATGACACTGAGGTCATCAGTATGAAAGAGATTGAACGTGCGATTCGAAGTTTGAAATGTGGTAAGGCTGCGGGACTAGATAGAGTTACTGCTTAAATGGTCAAGTATGGTGGGCCTCGCGTCTGGGACAGCTTTCATCTGCTGTGCAATTTGTGCTGGCGGACGGGGGATGTCCCGGATGATTGGCGATCCGCAGTCATTGTGCCTTTATATAAAGGTAAAGGTTCACATTTTGACTGCGGGTGCTATCGGGCGATCAGCTTGACCAGTTTAGCAAGTAAAGTTTACTCGAAAGTTTTGACACGTTTGACACTGATTTCTATGGAAGGCACAATGCGGATTTAGACCTGGAAGAGGATGCACGGATCAAATGTTTTCTCTCCGCATGATCACGGAAAAGCTTCTGGCTGCTAACCAGAAGATTTTCTGTGCTTTTGTGGATCTTGAGAAAGCATTTGATAAGGTTGTAAGGAAGAAAATGTGGGAACTGTTGCCGGGGTATGGTGTGGATGGTCGATTGCTAAGGGCTGTGTGACTACTTTACTGTGACTGTAAAGCCTGTGTGCGGGTAGGGCATGACCTGTCACCCATGTTACGCGCATCCAAATGGGCGTAAAACAGGGTTGTGTCATGTCTTCCTGGCTGTTCATACTGTATCTCGACAGCTGTTTACAGAAGTTGAAAGATAGCTGTTTGGGTGTGAAATTGGGTGACATTAAAGTAAATTGTCTGCTGTATGCTGATGATGCAGTGCTTATTGCACCATCAGAGGCAGAACTGCAGGCATTAGTCATGTGTACGAAAGAGGAATGTGAAATTAAAGGTCTCCGTTTGAATGCTAATAAAACTAAGGTTCTGGTATTTGAAAGGGACGAAGAGAGAACGAAGTGTGAAATATGGGTAAATCAGGAATGTCTAGAACAGGTAAATGAAATTGTATACTTGTTAAGTGCTTTTAGCCGGGATGGAAGATGTGATTTAGATGTTGACAGGCGTGTCGCTGCCGGGGAACAAAGTCAATGGTGCCCTGACTGCGTTAGTCAAAAGGCAAGGCGTAGTGAAGAGTGCACGCCTTGCAATACATAACGCAGTGTTGGTGCCGACTTTGTTATATGGCAGCGAAACCTGGGTATGCCAGAAGAAGCATAAAAGAAAGTTGAATGCAGTGGAGATGCGATCTCTTCGTAAAATGTGCGGCGTTACCATGGCCAGCCGAAAGCGAAACGAAGAGATTCGCAATATGGCAGGTTTGAA